TTTTTTTTCTCCCATGTCCCCTGCGGGGCTCTGTATTTTCACAGCACTGCAGAGGTTTTGATTCTTTTTAAATGTATTTCCTTCTCTCCTGGTTTAGTCTGGATCGGACTGAGATTGTAACCTCAAACCCTTACACACAAACACACACTGAAACACACACACAACCTTTGACTCTCTGCTTCTGTTGTCTCAACCAAACACTTGCAGTATTATACCATGCAGCAGAAAAGAGCTGTTGTTTTCGGGGCCGGGGACTGAGCCTCTCTCTCCATTTGGGACACACACACACATACACTCAGTCTTTCTCACAGTGGGTGCTTGCAGGCTCGAGGGTTGTTGAGCGCTGTTTTCACTGAGCTGCAGGTACACACAAGGAGGCCGTCAAAGGAAATGACTTAATCACTCATGATTCTGGATGTAAGCAGGGCAGTGTTGGGAACAGGAGCTCAGGCGTGTCTTTAGGGGGGGTCGGTCCTACACGGGTCGGTATTAGAGAACAGTGATTTGTGCTTTGTCCGCTGCAGACTGGTCCCCTGTTGTGCACCAGTGAATAGATGCCTGTTCACCCTGTCTCCTGTCTGTAAACATAGCAGGGTAATGAGCATAGATTATCACCTACACAAGTCTGTTTTTTAACCAAAGATTTCTTTATTTCTGGCCAGGCCTGGTTTTAGAAAGCAGAGATGTTTTTTTAGTAGAGAGGAATGAATCAGCTCAGGCTGATAAACAGTCTGATTAACATTGAGCTCAGAGGTGTTGGATGAAGTTTGGGCCACACCATACGGTGAGTATTGTTTCTAATACACTGAGCTGTATACCGCCTCGAGTACCGGTGTCCTGCAGGTTTTAGATCTCACCCTGGGTCAACATACCTGAATCAAATGATGACTTCATTACCAGGCCTCTGGAGAACTTCAACACATGTTGAGAAGGTCATTTAGCCATTTGAATCAGCTGTGTTGGATCAAGGACACATCTAAACCCTGCAGGACACCGGTCCTCGACCAGGACCTCGAACCAGTGGAATTACATGATTCACAGCGAGCAAGGACTTGGCAACGGTGGGGAGAAAAAGACCCGCAAAACCAGGTTCAGGGAGGAGCCGCCATCTGCAGGGAAGACGTCAAAGAGGATGAAGATCTGTCTGTATTCTGACTGAAATCTGCTGGATCTTAAGTTTTAAAAACACTGGTGTATAGTATGGATGCAGAAAATGCTAGCTTACT